AAGGTTGACCTTAACTTTTCTTTATCTATTACTTACATGCATAACAACAACATACAATTGGTCGTGATAAAAAACAGATATTTTTAAGAACATGTTATTAATGCACAACTCTTATCTAATACTTACACAACAACAACATATAATTGATCGGGGCTAAGAACCGATTTCTTTAATATTATGCCAACACACATAAAGACTGACCCTGATTTTAAATTGAACCCAAAGATTAGAAGTAACTGGTGCTCTGGAACTTGAATTGAATCCTAAGATGAATCTTTTTATAATATGATAATTTACTTAGGCAATCAGACAAAAGAGCTGTTGTTTTAGAGGATGCTTGGATACAAATCTATCCAAAAGAATCTAATCATATTTAACGCAACCCCACTACCTTCAATATTATCAATATAACTAAATAATATCAATCAGTTATTCTTACATACTACGTCAACATTAATTCACTATTCATCCAATCGCATAATTTTAACTAACAATCACTTCAAATTATCTCTCTCCTACTTTTAAACCAAATCACCTTTAATTAATTATTTTATTTTAAATATCATTTCAATATACCAACTTTCAACTAACCAAATCACTTTTTCAAAATTAACCAAACCAAACCAAAAAATACAAACAAATCCAAAAAATTTTATATCCAAGCATATCATATTAACATCGATTATACTTTATTAGTTAAACAATATTCACTAATATTTCTATATTTTCTTTATACAAAAGACTGACCGTGACTGTTAAATAGAACCCCAAAATCAGAAGAAACTGGTGCCGCTGAAAGTTAAAAAGAAATCTAAAATTGATATATTTATAATATGATAATTTATACGGCAGTTGGACAAATGAGTTGTTAGTTTATCATTTTAATATCGATTATACTTGATTAGCTAAATAATATTCACTAAAATTGTTATAGTTTTTTTATGTTGTTTAAAAGAACCTTAAACATGTATGGTTAAAATATTATAAACACTAAATTGTTATACAACATGTGTAAGATTATCTAAAATATTCTATATTATTCCTAAAAAATGTGAGGTCACCTTTCTAAGTTATTTTATAAGTAAACCATGTCTTAAAAAAATTCAGCGCCCATACATATATACACAACATGTTTAAAATATACAAAATACTATATGTGAATAATATGTATTAAAGTTTAAAAAATATTAGTAATTATATCTACAAAAATATGTATGAATAATACGAAACATTAAACATTACATCACACTAATTTTATGAGAGATATTATATAGTAGATATAAAATATAAAAACATTACTTGTACGCTAATTTTTTTTGAAGCCGAACAATTTTTAATTGGATGTGTGATAACTTTTTATATATATTTTCAAGTTGAACAACTTTTAGTTGGATAACTTTCCTATTATATGTGTGACAATTTTTTTATGTATTATATATATATATATATATATATATATATAGATTTTGCATATATTAGATTTATATTTTGTGCATACGAAAACGAAAAATTGATTTACTATACAAAATTTTGAAAATTTTCCTTTTAAAAATAATTGACAAAAAGAATACCAATTAAGGGATTGGTTTATATCTAAAAAAAAGATTTGTATATGTCTCATATAAAATCGTTTATTTTCAACATATGCTACAATGTAAAACATATTTAAATATTAATATAACTTTATATTTTGTGTATATAAATGTCAATCCAAATTGTTGGTTCTAATAAATATGATAAAATAAATAAGAATCCTCACAAATGAGAATTCCAAAATTAACTCCATGTAAATTTAAATATTACTATAAAATTATTTTTTGTGTATGTAACATATATGCTAATCCAAATCAATGATTCTAATAAATTTGTTAAAAAAAAGAATCCTCGATAAATGAGAATTCCTAAATCGGCTACATATAATTATTTACATAATCGTTGCCTACAAAATCACTATCAACATATTTAAAGGAAACCAAGAATTGACTAAAACAAACACAAACCGAAAGCCGAGTTATATGAAAATTATGCAATTAATAATTCATTTTTTATTTATATCATATTATAATATTTCCATCTATAGCTGGTAATTAATATTTTGGGCAGAAAATGCTCATAAAATGTTTGGGTCTGAAAAAAATCACGTGTTATTAAAAACCTAATTGTAAACAACATTATTAGCTTGATTATTGAGCAACTTGTTATTCCCACAAATTAATATTGTTTTCTATTTATATCACGCGAAATTGCAATATATAAGTGATCGTAACTAAAAACATGTTTTTTCAAGAATATGCAAACGTGCGATAAAGACTGACACTCACCCTTGTTTATCATCGTGACAATATAAATGAATGTTTATCTAAAAAATTTAATCTTTTAAATGTAGTGATCGTGTGTTATTTTTTTAATTTCGTGATTGATGGACTTTTTTATTAATTACTGGTTTGATTCAATATATAACAAATTTTGTTGCCAATCGTTTAGTTAATACGTGTAAATGCATAAATAAAAAGAGACCTAAACTATGAAAAAAATTTCATCTTTTGAAAGCAAATAAATGATACACATTATCTTTTAAAATAAATAATGACAATGATTATAACATTGTATTATCAAAACCGATAAGATATATAAAATTCATTTTCCTTTTCAAACCGATAATGTAGAAAAAAAAAATTCAATTGATTAATAGATGATATATACAAACTATAATTTTAGAAATATGTTCAAAATTTTCTTTGCATGAATCCGACGCATAAATTATTTAGTCTATTATTATATTAATAAATTATTTGAAACGTGTATACACCCGATATTAGATTCGATAAAAACTTGAAATTGAATCCATCAACTATTAAATCAGTTATTCCATATTAATTGACAATTAATGCGCCCAGATATTCTATCCCGAATTGTCAAGGAATACTAAAATTAGGTAATAATTAATGCATGAAGGGAAAAGATTATTAAAAATAATTTAAGTATAATCTTATTTCATACATAAAGATATAGTATTGATACCATGT